GTGAGGCACAACCCATCAAGAAGGGACAGATACAGTACATGCAGCTAGGTGGGTGGGAGAAAGGAAAGGAAGGAAGGGAAAGAAAGACAAGAAACCAAGAAAAAGAAAAGATGCCAGGTGGTTGGGAGAAAGGAAAGGAAAAAATAGAGAAAGACAAGAAACTGAGAAAAGAAGAAAGAAAAAGACAAGGAAAAAAATTCCCCAGGGGAGTCCACTGGAAGTGGGTCCCTAGCTGAGTGGCACTGCATAGCCTCTCAAGAAGGAGCGGAGATGGCACACGGTACCAGGTGTTCAGGAGAAGGATAAGGAAGGAAGGTAGAGAGAGATAAGACTGAGGAAAAAAATAAGAAAGAAACAACAACAACAACAAAAAATCCCAAGGGAGCCCACCAGAAGCGCCAGGTGTTCAGGAAAAGGGTAAGGAAGGAAAGTAGAGAGAGACAAGAAATGAGAAAAGAAGAGAAAAAGAAAAAAAAATGCCCCAGGAGAGCCCACTGGTGTGGTGGCATGGACTCTGAAGTGGAGCTGCCCTGCACAGCCTGTCTAGAAGGAGCAGAGATGGCACATAGTGCCAGGTATTCAGGAGACAGGAAAAGAAGGAAGGTAGAGAGAGACGAGAAACTGAGAAACAAAGAAAAACAAAAAGGAAAAAAGAAAAGAAAAGCCCCCAGGGAGCCCACCAGCATAGTGGTGGGGACCAGGGAAGGGGTTCCCCAGCTGAGTGGTGCTTCACAGCCTGTCAAGAAGGAGCAGAGATGGCACACGGAGCCAGATGTTCAAAAGAAAGGAAAGGACGGAGGTGAGAGAGAGAGAAGAAACCAAATGAAGCTGAAAAAAGCAACAACTGCAACAAAAACATGGCACTGAAAGAGCCAGCCAGTGTGGGTGGGGTGAATCCAAGTGGCAAGGAGGCAGCGTCTCCCTGGCCAAGTGACCTTGGTCCACCAGGAAGTAAGACTTCATCTTATGTATTTTGAACATGTTATCAGGAGGGACCAGTCCCTGGAGAAGGACGCCTATGCTTGGTAAAGTAGAGGGTCAGTGAAAAAGAGGGAGACCCTCAACAAGATGGATTGACAGTAACTGCAACAATGGGCTCAAATATAGCAACGATTTTGAGGATGGAGTAAGACCCAGCAGTGTTTCATTCTGTTGTACATATAGGGTCTCAATGAGTCGGAACCAACTCGAAGGCACCTACCAACAACATGAGTCAGAATCCACTTGATGACATACAACAACATGGGGACAATGGAACAAAATGTTTGAAGACTGTGCTGACTTGGAAATTTCAAGAATAAGTTTGCTATTCCCACAGCCAATAGCAAATTCCTTGGATACAGTGGTCACAAAAAGATTTGTTTTATGACTGTATTAAGAAATGAATGCATAAACAGATACAATTTAAAAAACCAAAACCAAACCCACTGCCGTCGAGTCGATTCCGACTCACAGCAACCCTACAGGACAGAGTAGAACTGCCCCATAGGGTTTCCAAGCTGTAAATCTTTACAGAAGCAGACTGCCACATCTTTCTCCTGAGGAGCTGCTCTTGGGTTCAAACCATCGACCCTTCGGTTAGCAGTTGAGTGCTTTAACCACTGCACCACCAGGGCTCATTGCTATGATTTCAGTGACTTCTAAAAGGCTCCCAAGTTCCCTAAAGTCAGGCATCTGAAATTCCTAGCATTAAAGGGACAGATAGGGTTAAGACAGTAAAAGCTGGCCCAGGTTAAAAAAAAATACATGTTTACCTAGTAAGAGATCCACATTTGCCTATTTCACCAGGTTGAAAGATTAGCAGGTGCACCCTTAAATAGAGAAAGGGCCTCCCTTCTCCACAAGGACAATTGTTTCCATGCAGTGAGAGGGGTTTGGGAGGGCTGGACTTGCCAGAGAGTCCCTGGGTGGTAAAAAGCGTTGAGCTCTCAACTACTAACTGAAAGGTTGGCAGTTTGAACCCACCCAGAGGCATCTTAAAAGAAAGGCCTGGCAATCTGCTTCTGAAAGGTCACAGCTATGAAAACTGCAGAGTGCGGTTCTGCTCCACAACACATGGGGTTGCCATGAGTCAGAATTGACTCCATGGCACCTGGTTTTTGGATTTGCCCGAATTGGGTAACATGGAGGGTCTCCATCGGCCCAGGGAAAGTGCGTGGGGGAGAGGAGATCCAAAAGGTGGATATGAGGCTGGAGAACAGATTCTTGCACAAGACTAGCCTCTGCACAGTCTTACCCTTGCTCTTTTGGGAGGGCCTGATAACCTAAAGGGATTCTAGGACTTCCAAAAGTTTGGAGATTGAAAAGCTGTTTTAAATTATGTTCAACTTTCTTTTTCTTTAAAATTGCTGCAAAGGGGAAGGGACTTGTCCAAGGACACACAGCTGTTTAGTGGCTGAGCTGGAACTAAGCGCTAAGTGTCTGTCTCCTAGCTAAATGCCTCCGTGCCTGGAGGGCCTCGAGCTTCTGTCTGGAAGAATGGCAGGCACAAAGCAGGAGTGTTGGGGGCAGGCCACACCTGGCTGTGGAGGCATCTTGCCTGCCTGTGTCCTCACATTGTCCCAGATGGTGACGGGTGATGTCTTAACACCTCCCTCCACCAACTCCCACCTAGTTTGTCAGCAGTGTTGGCTCTAGAATGATGCCATTCCAGGACAGACTGCTGGGACAGCTGCCCACAAAGGGAGGAACACAGAAGCAAAGACTGGTTCTAATCCCATCAATTTCCTCTAGCAATTAACCCAAAACACCAGGAGGTACTTCATCCTTGTCCCTGCCTTAACTACTTCCCTCCTTTTTCCTTGTCCTCATCCAATAGTCCGCCTACTCTTCCACCTAGAAATGTTCATCTCAGATGGTTCTGTAAAGCTGAGTGAACCAAGCCTCACACTTTAACACTTTACCTGCCCGCCCCCTCGGTGTTCCCCAACCTCACCCCCCAAGTTCCTCCCATCAAGCCCAGGTGGGTGCTCTCCTAACTTCCCCTCTCCACAGCCTCAGCCCATTACTTCCTTTACCCATCCCTGCCTTGGCCTCCCTTGGCTCAGCTTGGCACTGTCTCTACCTTGCTCACATTCTTACACTGGGTAGTAATGAATTTCTTCTTCTCAGCTAGTTTGCAGGCTCTCAGTACAGTGCCCAGAGCAGGAACTTAATAATGATTTGTGACTCCACAGAAGAAATAAAATAGAATGTTTTTGATTCAAAATGTGAGGTAGCTGTTTGAATGCCCTGGTACAAGTTCCTGGGACAGCTGAAAGTTATGGAGAGTGAGAGTTTTTAGGAATGCTATCCTAGAAGGAACCTGGCAACCAAAGACTCCTAACTAAGACAGGAAATGTCTGGTGTCTGTGGCTCAGAAAGACATTTAATTATCAGCAACACCAAATACTTTATTTCCATTTAAAATTTTATTACATAAAAGAAAAAAAAAAAAAACCCCTCTACAAAACAAACAGAACTCTAAAACCCAAACCAACTCAAAGATAGAAGTTCATTATCCAGGTATCCAGGTTCTAACTAACCCCACCTCCCCAAAACAAGCTTACATTAAAAAAATCCAAAAGAAATAGAAATACCAGCTTCAAAAATATTTATCCAAAAAGTAAGGCATCCACTTTACAAAAAACAATAATTGAAGGAGGGGAGGAGGCTGGAGGAATCAGAAGAGAGGGAACAAGAGGAGGGTGCCTCCAGGGCCAACCCTGGCCTGCCTAGTGTCCATTCTGCAGGGGCCATAACTCAGACCAAACCTAGCACCTCACCAACAATGGGTCAGGCAAGTCAGAAGGGAAGCTGGAAGATCCAGCCTAGGCAGGAGGGGCTTGCTGGGTATTCCAGTTTAAGCAGATGGAATGCGGAGTCAATGGGAATCCTACGTTCTTAGCACAACAGGAGTGACTGGGCAGGCTACCAGGCCAGAAGCACAGAGAAAGGCAGTGTCTACCTGCAGGACAGTCAGAAGCCCACATACCACAGCTGCCTCAGGACAGCGAGGGGTGCCTGATGGGGACCTTCTCAGGGTCTCCAAAGTGGGTGCCATTCTGCCACTGCCCTATCATTCTGCCCTGGAGGCTGTCCAAAGACAGGAGGGTGAGACCAGAAAGGAGGAAGGGGTTATCTGAACTGGCCTTCAGAAAACACTCTCTCCCCAAACAGTCTCTGAGGTTATGGAATGGGCCCCTCTGGGGAGGTGGGAAAATGCCCTCTCCCCTCTCCTAGGAAAGGCATTTAATACCAAGTCTGTCCTGAGGGTTAGAAATAAGGGAGTATTTTTGGGCCCAGTTCTTGGGTGGGAGGTGACTTAAGGCTGATTTGGCTCTGAGTTCAGGCCTGAAGGGCTTGGGGATCCTTCACATGTGGTCCCAGAGCCAAGGTCCAGAGAGGAGGAAAGCACTGGCAGCACTGGCTCTGTGGATATGTTGGGGGTGTAGCTGCAAGGATACTGGGGTAACTGCAGGGCAGGAGGAGGAGCTGTGCTGTTTTGTCATTAGGGGACAAACGTCCACTACATGGAAAATAAAAAGCTTTCTGGCTTCTGGAAGCTTTGGTACCAAGCTGTGGGAAGATGCAGGAGGCAGGGGCAGGGCTGGGCTTTTGCAAGCAGAGCCTTTCTCAATATGTTCTGTGGGCCTGGTGGGAGTTAGGGGGAGGGGGCAGTTCTCCTTCTCATTGGTCCTTAGCGCAGTGGGGAGGTGGTGTCCTGAAAGAAGCCTCACTCTGGACAGGGAACCCAGGCTGGGGTGGGTGGGTAGAGGAATAGTGGGGAGAGGGCAGGGAAGAGGGCAGGGGGAAGCATCCCCTCTGATTTCTTGGGTCCCAGGTCTCTCCAGCTGACCTTTAATGGTGACATATTTGCTTGAGTCTGCCCCTTCTTTCTGAGCTGAGGCCTTCCCTTAGGCTCAGGAATGGGGAGGGAAGGCAGTACTGAACTCAAGTTCCTGAGGAGGCAGCTGAGGGCCTGTGTGGGGAGGGAGGGCTCTGTAGGGCACTCTTGGCATCTCCTCTCCCCTCTAACCACTCAGAGCATGGGCAGCCCTGGTGTGGCGACCTGGGGGTGAGAGGCTGGTTCTTTGGGTCCAAATGTCAGTGTCTTTGTTTACAACTTCTTACCACCCATATCCAGGTCCTGCCCCTGTCTGACAGAAGGGTATATGTGTGTGTGTGTGCTGGGGGGACCCCAGACAGGGAAGCAGGGCAGAAAGGGGGATGAAGGAGGGAGGAGCCAGCTGAGAGGGGTGTGGCAGTCCTCAGGCCTGGGGCTGGTCCTCGGATCCCTGCTCCTTAGAGGGAGTGGGAGAGTACATGGGCTGCTGCTGCTCTTCCATCTCCTCAGTCATCTCCTCTGCTCTCAAGCCCCCCTCCACCTTGGGGTACACGACCACACACATCTTTTGGCTCACCAGGGTTAGCAATTCTGCAGGAGAACAGACAAGAACTGGGTCAGTGCTGAGTGTCCCTCCAACCCTGCCATCCAGGCCATGGCCTTTCCCATCTCTCTTGCCCCAGGTTTTGCCTCAGCACACAGCCAGGGGATGGCCACCTCAACTGCCTCCTGTGTCTTCTGGATAGCCTGTTTCTGCTGGCCGCCCCTTGTTCATCAAGGCCCCAGTCTTCCTCCTTCCCTACCCCTATTAATCACTGATTGCAGAAGCACAGGGATTCCACTGATTCCAGGGTCTACACTGGCCTCTTCCCAGCCTAGGGCAGCTCCTGCAGGATGGCTAACTGGTTGCCTATTCTTGCAGGTCTAAGGCTTGTGTAGAAATGTCAACTCTACTCAGAGGTCTCTGGGAAGACACCTGCGTTTTCCTGTTACTGGCTCCTTCTCCAGAGCTCTTTGGACCCAAGTTAAGATGAACCTAGATCTTCCAATCCTATATCTACCCTGTGTCTACCCTGCAGACCACTGATCACTCTATTCCAGATCAGGAGCCCTTCTAGCCACCTAGAACCTTCAACAACTCACCAATGAAGTCACTGAAACACTTGGGCTTGTGTTGCCAGTAAACACCCAGGAAATAGACAGGCACGCCAGTCAGCATGATGGCCAGGCCAATGCCACACACCACTGGCTCCGACCACAGGCTGAAGACGAGCAGGAAGGCCCAGAACAGCAAGTAGATGATGGGGAAGAACAGGCTGATCTGTAGTTGGAGCAGAGACATCATTAGCTGGGTGGACTCCACAGCTCAGGATCAGGGCATCCTCCCTCCTCTTCACCCACAGTGAAGTATCCTTGAGGGCAGAAGCCAGGCTTCAATCAGTTCTGTAGCTACCATACTCCAAGCTCTGACAGGCAGGTACTATGTCAATAAATGTTGGTGAACTTGGGCAGTGGGATAGGAAGAGGACAGGGGAGCTAGGAAGGGAATGATCTTCATTGTCCATTTCCTCCCTCCTAGATGGGATCATACAAGGCTTCATTATCCATGTCATGTGCTTGTGGCAGCCAGAGGAGCCCATGGGGAGTAGGAAACTTGGGTGTATACTTGCTAAGGTCCTCGGGTGAAGAAGTGGAGATAAGCATTAAGGGCAGGAAGGAAATGACCCGGGTCAGTCAGACTCCCTGCTCTTCCCCTACTTCTAGGCACAGTGTGCAGAATGTCCATGCCCCTCCCTAGGATCAGCCCCAGTATGTTTCCAGGAATTTAAAAAGACAAACCTGCCAAGACCCAAGAAATGAGGAAACCCAACGTAGTATAATGCAGCCTAGGGCCTTGAGGTTACTTCAAAAAACAGCATCAACTCCACAAATTCACCCCTTTTTGTCAATCACATGTGGAGACTTCCCAAGATTCCTCTTTCTTTCTTCTGGCTGTCCTTCCCTCTCAGAGGGTATGTGTGTGGTGGGGAGGGGAGTTATTTTACCTCCTCTTCCTTCTAGCAAGTTTTCTCAGAGTGGTGGAAAAGTGGTAGTGGAAATGCCAGTGTGGGACAGAGATTTGGAGAGCCCTTGATTCCCCAGCTGGAAGAATCTTCTAGAAGCATTTAGTCTCCCTCTGTTTCCAGAATAGGATTGTTCAAATTGGCTCAGGGTTACTCTCTCTTCTTTTAATTTGCAGGAGAACTCTTAGCACTCTAGCGTGTTTTGTTCTAACCTCCCCCATCCATTCCTATCCCAAAGTTACTCCTTTTAGCAACCAGTAGATTCACTGAGCAACATACTCAGTGTAGGGCTATAGTCATTTATAAAAGGAGATCATGCAGGGCAGAAGTGTACTGGAAGCATCAAGGAAGAGGAGATACTTGAGGCCCATTTGGAAAATGACTAGAATCTGGATAGGCAGATGGGAGGATGAAACTCATTCTGGGATAGAAACATAGCACAAGTGAACCCAGCTATCCAGAGGGGCAGGGAGGAGACTGACCAAACTAGAGGGTCCAGGAAAAATGTTGGAGAGATCAGAGAGCCTTGAAAAATCAGCTGGAGTTTAAGATTTAGAGTGGCAGGAAACAGAAGAGTAACATGATAAAAATAAAATTTAATCTAACTTATTCCCCCAGCTGCAGTCTTCTCTAATCCTGTCCTCAGTGGAGAATAGAAATGGCTGCCTCATTTACACATGTCCCTTGCTTCCCAAAGGGTCTGCTACCATCAGAGAGATGATGATCTGAGGTCAGCAGCCAAGAAGAGGTGACTTAAAAATCCGAGCCAGTAGAGGAGGAGCAGGGAACCCCAAAGGGAGGTTCTCACCTTAATGGGGCGGGGGATGTCAGGCTTCTTCCAGCGAAGGACTATCTGTCCAGCAATTGTGACTCCATAGAAGAGGTAGTTGATGAAGCCCACATAGTTGATGAGTGTGTACATGTCACTGGTGACCAGCATCAGCAGGGTGGATATGCACTGGGGAAATGGAAGAACCTCGTCAGTGATTGAAAGGTATTCAGAGGCTAGAGGAGGTGTTTACACGTCAGGTGGCCATTCTCCTGCCTCCAGCTAGATGAGGCCATTTTATAATGGATGTCTCAAAATGGAGACTTTACCACCTCCCCTAGTAATCCAGGCCATCACTAACACCTTCATTGCCAGGAAGTTCTTATTGCAGGGGTGATAAAGTTTTTAACCATTGGTATGGCATGGGCACTAACCAATCAGAGTAGACGCTGGCCATAAACAATTGGATTGACTACAGGGCCATATGTTAGCCCTGGTCTCTTTTACCTTTCTCCCTTGGTTGTAGCTCAAGTTAATTTTTTTTTAAATCCCTCAGGGAAGGTTGTTAACTGTAGATTAAGGCTTTAATCTTGCCCTCATCTTTTTTTCTGGCTGAGTCATCTAATTTATTTTCGTTTTCCTTTTTAACTTTAACAGCACTTAGTATGTACCAGGTTCTATTCTTAGCATTCTACAAATATTTACTCATTTAAACCTCATAACATCCCTCTGTGCTCTTCTTAATAGAGTCCATGTTCCAACTTCAAAATCATCTCAGTGGCTCTCTCGGAGCCATGTTCTTTCCCTCTGCTAATTTGTGAGGCCAAAAAAAGGCTCAGTTCTCCTGTGAGATCTGATGGTGAGAATAATTGAAAAGATTTTAATGGTTAATAGGCCAGATTCTTGCCGTACCAGCCTTTCAGTCCTAATATTGCACCTACGGCTCAAACTCCGTTCATGGCCCGCTGGCCTTCCCCAATCACTTTCACAGCTAACCAGTCAGGATAACCTTCATCCCACATTTGAACATTCTGAAATTCTCCCCAATGTTGTACAGTGCCCTTGACTCCCGAGAGCTCTGTTATTTTGGTTTCTAACTGCTTCTCCATCGGACCAAAGTAATTTTCAATGTTTTATTCAGGATCTAGAAACAAATAAACCAACCCCAAAGCCCCAACGGGGACATGTCTCTGCTTCTTCCTTTAGCTCTCTCTGAGTGATTCTACTCTGGGGTCATTTTAATTCCATTTTTCTTCTATCCCAAATTTCCTTTTTTCCATTTTCACTTTACCGTCTTCCTTTTTAAAATGATTTTTTCTATTTGGCTTAACACTCTGAATGTTTCCAGGATGTTGTCTGAGAGGCTAGCAGGGCCTCCTGGTGCAAGAAGATTGATGGGGAAGGGCAGCGGGTGCTCATTGATCAGCTAGGTGTGGAGGAGAGCCGGGAGAAGAGGAATTTGTGAGGTTGTAGAATCTTGGGGCAGTCATTTCAGTCTGACTCGCGGGACTGGAGGAATGGAAATGAGCTGGCCTGAGAGCCTTGAGGTGTTTCAGGACTCAGGGTCTTTTCTTGATAAAAAACCAGTTGTCAGTTCCGACCCATGGTGACCCCTTGGGTGTCATAGTAGAAACATGTGCCACAGGGTTTTCTATGGCTAATTTTTCAGAAGTAGATCACCAGGCCTTTCTTCTGAGGTGCCTCTGGGTGGACTCAAATCTGCAACCTTTCGGTTAGCAGCTAAGCATGTTAACTGTTTGTACCACCCAGGGATTCCTGACATTAGTAGAGCCCATGCACATCATTTGCTGGATTATCTAAGACCCAGTGAAACCTAGCAGCAGACCAGGAGGGTGACGGGCATGTGTGGAAAGTGTGAGCTCCCAGCTCAGAGCAGGTACAAAGAGAGGCAGGGAGGGTATAGGTAGAACTGGCAGTAGGAGGGGCCCTTACGGTGAAGAGCAGGGCTGGGATTGGGGTGCAGCGCTTCACGTGGATCATGGCCAGCACGATGGGAAGGTGGCCTTCCCTGGCTCCAGCAAAGAACAGCCTGGCAGAGAGAAAGGCAGGTCAGCCTGGGAGAGCCCATGGATCACACACAGGGACTCCCTCCCGAGCCTGGGCTCTCTCGTTCATGCCTACCTTCTGCCCCAAATAGGAGCTATCTCCCGCCCCAACTAGGTACCCACCTTCACGTGTACACCTCCCAGGCCACTAGTCACAGGACCCACGTTCACAAATGCAGGTGCAGGCAAATGCAAGGCAGCCAGTGGATTGGTGGATGGATCCCAGGTGCATGGAGACCCTGAGCATGGTCTCAGCAGATCTGGCTTGCTGATGATTCTACTGTTGCTCTGTAGGTGGCTCACAATGCCTAGAAGGCACTGCTGGGGCAGCTTCTCTCTTTTGCCTAAGGCCTTAATCCCTTTAAAAATGTGCCTTCCGCACTCCTCAAGGGAGACAGGTTATCTGATACACTGGGATTGTATGTACTATATATTGAAAGTCTTAAAAACACTCATATTCTAACCAGAAATGGTTACCTCTATGGGGGTGTGGAGTTGAATAGAAAGTGACTTGAGGGGATTTAAGGGATATGTAGGAATGTTCTATATCTTGTTTTGGATTATGGTTACATGGCTGTCCACAAGTATCAAAACTCATCAAACTAAACACTAAGATCTGTGTAGTTTATTGTTTATACCTAAAAATTGATATTGTTTATACCTAAAAATTGATATCTTTGAACTACTTATTCTATCCCCAAGAAGTCATCCTCAAGAAATGAATAGAGTTGGTCAAAGATATACATACAAAGATACTCTGATGATAATAAAAAAATTGGAAACAACCTAAATGCCTAAAATTAGGGGCTTGATTAAATAAATTATGGTGTATCTATATTTTATAGCCATAATAATGTTTTTGAAAAACATTTGATTACCTGAAAACATGCTCACAATATAGCATCAGATGAAAAAAGCAGAATAGAAAATAGTATGATTCCATATAATATGATTCCAATTACTTTTAAAATTATTTCTGGGCATGTAGAAAAATACAGTAACATACCAACTGACCATCTCTGGGTGGTGGAATTATGAATAATCTTAATTTTCTTCCTTATACTTTATAGGGAAACCCTGGTAGTGCAGTGATTAAGAGCTACAGCCGCTAACCAAAAGGTCGGCAGTTTGAATACGCCAGGCGCTCCTTGGAAACTCTATGGGGTAGTTCTACTCTGTCTTATAGGGTCACTATGAGTTGGAATCGACTCAATGGCAGTGGGATACTTTATAGTAAAATTTTAAAATTCTAAAATAGACATGAAATTCATGATCAAAATAAAAATACTTTTTCAAATTAAAATTTTTTATTTTGAGATAATTGTAGATTGACATGCAGTTGTAAGAAATAATATGGAGATATTCTGTGTACCCTTTATGGGTTTCCCCCGATGGTATCATCTTATAAAACTATAGTACAAGATCACAACCAAGATATTGCTGTCTAAAAGTTACTTCTCAAAAGAGAAATTTTAACATAAAAAGCACCCTTCTTCTCCTTGCCTATCTCAAGAGAAAACAAGATACTATAAACTGTGACAGTTATTTACATATTAGTTCAAATTAGACCACTTTTTTCTTTTTCTAGGATTTTGTTGGGGAAGAAGCACCTAAGGAGTGAGAGGCAGGAGATGGTGTGATGGGGCAGAAAGGCATAGAATCAGCATGCTGTAGTTCTGAATAGAATCATCACTTACTTTGTAATTTGTGTATATGGGAGAGTGGAGATAACAGCAGCAGATTGTCAGAAGTGTAGGAGTTGACTGTAGCCCCAAGTACCCATATGCATTTGCCATCAACTACCTAGGCCAGTGCCACCAGCCTTATGCAGTCATGCAGCATCCCTGCCCCTGCCCCATGCTACTGGCCCTCTACAGTGCAGCCTCTTGTGCCAGAGAGAGAACCAGTCTCATGCGCATAGTCAGGGTCCATATTCACATTCCTCCCCACGTACAGCCCAGACCAAGTGCAACTGTCTGGTCCAACAGCATTTGCAAGTGTCAAGTTCACAAGAGACAGTCTTTGCCTTGCTAGCAGACAACAGAGGAGACACAACGACATTAAGCATAACACACACCCACAGACACTCCTACTTCTCAGAAGGGATCATCCTCTCTATACCCCTAAACACAAAACAGTGACAGCAAGAAAGAAAAAAGGAGGGAGGTGGGGAAGAAAGGAGGAAGGAACTGGAAAAATGATCAGAGGAGGCCTGGGTGGGTGAGATCGTGCCTCTGAACCAGCGGCGGGGCACACCATGCACCGCCGCCGCCTGCATGCACACATGACTATACACATGCACACAGACCGCTGCTCACTCTGCCTGAGGCACAAACCCCACTCTAAGGTGACTGCAGCCAGTCACTCTCCTCCAACAGATCCCAGAGAGCCTGCTGGGTCACTGTCTTCCACTGCTCGCCCTCGGCTGGGGCCTCCAGGTGGCCACTGCTCCTGTGTAACATGCACACAAGGTTGCTGTGGGTGAGCCTCATAGGGCGTTGGGGTGCAAGTGACACCTGCGCTACCTCTTTCCTGTCTTGGGCCCAGAAAATATGGCACTCCCCTGTCATTTCACTGGAACTCTTCCCTGATGTGACAGGTGGCTTTGGAAGCAGCTAAGTTCAGGGACTCACTGCTTTCCCCATCTCTTCTGGGTGGGACTGTCCCCTGGAGACAGGGACTCTCCCAGAGCCTTGGGAAGACCCTTTGGAGTATGCAGTGGAAATCATGTGGCATCTGCTGGCCTTAATAGCTCATTCTGGCCTTACCTTGCATTCATTCAGCTCAAGATACAAGAGACAGCAGGAGGGGACACCAAGAAGGGGCCAGATTCCTGGATGTGTGGAGTTTGGAACTGGGGACACCTGGGCCCACCTGTGCTTCTGGCTTCCCAGAGTATTTTGGGGAGCAGTTGTGGCTAAAAGACAGGCTCTTTCTTTGGACAAATGCTCTCTTTTTGCTCTTCCCCATGCCCCTTGCTTCGCATGCTCCACTTGAGTCTCATGTAGGCCATGCAAAGCCTGCCCACAGCCACCTGTCTGGTGAGCAGGGAGGAGCCCTGCATCCTCAAGGGCACACAGAGATGATCCAATCCACATGCAGTCCAGTCCCATAACTTTCCCACCCATGGGAGACCAGACCCAGAGGCCCCAGGCACAGGTCTCCCTTCTGGTCCCTCTCGGAGTGGGGTTCCCTTCTAGCCAGCAGCAGCTTGTTTCCAGAAGAGTGGAAAAGGGGGCTCTAGGGCTGCAGCCAAGGCACTGTCCTGCCCCCCAGCCACAGCCCCCTGACCTGGGACTGCACCAGGCTGAGGGCTTCCTCAGTCCTCCACTCCATTTGCAATGTGAAGCGCCTAGGGCCTGCATATCACACATCCTAAGTAACCACGTGAGTAGCACACAGCCCTCTGCATCCACACTGACATCGCATACCCTCGTGTAAGCACATAACCCCCTGCCAGGACACCACCCAGGTGCCTACACAGACCCCTGCTGATGGAGACAATTCCCCACATATAGACAGAGCAATGTGCACAGCATAGTGGCCCCCCAGTCAGGGAGGGGTCCAGGCAGCACTCACCGGGAGGAGGTGAAGAGAGACCCATTGACACCTCCAAATGTGGACAGGGCAACAGAAATGGGCATGATCCAGGCCATGATGCCCAGGAGCTTCTCTCCAAAAGTCTGGGAGAGAAAACAAGGGGAGAAGGGGAAACGAGAGGTTACAACTCAGGCAGAGTGCATACCCCAGAAGCAATGACTAGTATACCAGCTGTTCTCCCCTTAACCCACCATTGGGCCCCCCACCCATTAGCATGCACTTCACTGCTGGGAATGCTTCTCTCCCATCTCCCCCCTTTCTGATTCTCTGGCTAAGTTCCTTGAGAGGAGGAACATCTATAGTACCCTGCCCCCTTGTGTACCACTTTCCACTGTGGTAACTACACAGTGGGGTTTGATAAATGTTTTGGGATAATTAACTGTAAGAGACAGTATATGGTGTTAATAATAATGATAAACATTTATTATCCCTGGTTTGTGGATGACAAAACCAAGGCATGAAGTGATTAAGTAGCATGCCTAAGACCACGTATCCAGCAAGTAGAGGGGCCAGGACTGGAACGCAGGTGTGTGAGTCCAGGTCTCAAGTACATCATACCATTTCTCCAGCACAGTGAGGGACATAGGCTTGTTGTGAGTCAGGCAGATCTGGGCTCAATTCGTAGCCCTCCATTTAGGAGTGTGAGACCTTGACCAAGGGTCATGCTTTTTGAGTCTCAGTTTTCCCATTTGTAAAACAGGCATGAATTCTAGTTCATAGGATGGTTGTGAGGGTTGTAAAAGATGATTTTGGGGGAAAGTTATAAGAACGAGCCACTATTTAGGCTGAGAAAGAAAAGGTTGTTAAGGTATAGACTAGTGTTCACATATTGAAAGAATATAAAATGTAGGGTGACCAGCCTTTTCTATATATTCAGAGCCAGGTATACACTTGATTTATAGCACATTATGGGGAAAGGAAACAGCAGTGCTGGTGGGGGAAGGGGCTGTTTACAATAGCTGTCCTGCTGGGGAAGGCTGTTGGTCATGGGAATAGGCTACACGGGAAACTGGAGAACCTCTTGCTTTAGAGTCTTCAGAAATAAGACCAATGACAACACTGTTTGGCAGGATAGGGTTGAGCCCAGCCTAAAGCCAGGTGAGGTTACAACATGGTTCCCAGTCTTTCCCAGATATCAAGGATCCCAACCCCTTGGACCCACATGATCTTTTCCCCCCAAAATGCACAATGCACATAATTTAAAAATTTTCTCTGCACATACTTTTCCATGATAAGGGAAGGATTCAAACTGCACACTTTCCAGAGGAGGAAAGAGAGGCAAACAGAATGGCATGTCTTGTGAAAGATTATGTTTTTTGAGGTGGAGCCTATCTCCTTTACACAATCGTTAGATTTTAAGGGATTGGCAAACTTTCTGGAGGCCCTGGGTAGTATAAAGGGTTAATGCACTTGAATATTAACCAAAAGGTTGGAGGTTCAAGTTCACCCAGAGGTGCTCCAGAAGAGAGGCCTAGGGATCTACTTCCGAAAAATCAGCTATTAAAAACCCTATGGAGCATAGTCCTACTCTGACATACGTGGGGTTGCCCTGAGTCAGAATCAACTTGATGGCAACTGGTTTAAACTTTTTCTGTAAAGGGTCCAATAGTAAATATTATTGGCTTTGTTGGCCATATAGTTTCTGCCACAACTACTCAATTCTGCTGTTGTAGCTGTTCTAGGTACAACCTAGCTGTCAGTTGGCTCCTGGGCACTTGAAGATGCCCCAGTGAGGACAGTATGTGGTTTCTGCCCTGGAAATTAGAATGACTTCCTACTTCAGAAGGCCATGTAGCAAGCAAAAATGAGTGAGGCTAAGCAAGCAAGTCTGTGTCAACATTCATGGTCTGTCTGAGAGACTAGGAGTTTGATTTCTTACCACAGCGACTGCATTTGATGCCAGCAGCTCCTGAGGGGACATTGCAGTGACATAAGCAATATTGGCAAAGACATACACAAATGTGACCAGTGGGATGGAGATGTAGATGGCTCTGGGAAGGTTCCTGTAGAGGAAGAGAAGATGAGAGGGGGAAGCCATGGCACCCAGGGACCACCTGCCTCACTGTGGGGGTCTTGGGAGTGCTTTGTATCTTTCTTGCAATCTTCGGTGATACTTTCTCCCTGGGAAGTATATTTTGTCTCAATACAGGCAAAATAATTTGAAAGAATGAAACCATTTAGGCTGGAAATATGCCTCACACCTGCTGATATCTTCTTGATCTGAATCTACACAATGTACCCCTTCCCCCTGCTTCAAGGCACAAAAATCGGCCTGTCTTGAGACAGGTGAGTAAGATGCCCGGAAGCCTCCTGGGGTACCTTTCATTCTCTAAGGCAATGGAGTTATCTAGGCACAGTTTTCAGCTTTTAACCTGCTCTGGGACAGTCACCGGATCATTTTTCTCCTCCTGGCAGAGTAGGCAACAAATAGTAGTTCCTTGGAAATGAGCTGTTTCTTCAGGACAGACCAGATCATGGTCAGAACAAAGGAGTGGGGTAGGGGGAGAAGTGGGCAGTAGGCATCTATCTGGCTCACTCTTTCCAGTAGGAGCTGCTGTGTCCTTCAAGGGAAAGTGGAAGAGCTAGGCTATTATTTCAACTCACTTGTAGGGATCAACAAGTTCCTCAGTCACGTAATTAAGAAAATTCCAGCCTCCGTAGGCAAAGGAGCCCTGAAGGAAAGCCAGTGCAACGAGGCCAATGTCGGGCTCTTGGAAATTCTCAAACGCATTCTTTGGCTCCAGCCAGAAGTATTCTCCTGTGGACACAAAGGGCAGGAGCCTATTCAGAGAGACGAGTCAGAGGCCCTGGCAGTCCCTGGCCTGCCTGGTCCCATCTCTTGCCCCTCCTGCAGCGATGACACCAGCTCTTTGTCTTGTCTCCAGTGAACCCAATATATTGGAGAAGTGGGGCTAAACAGATCAGGGAAATGCAGATCAGAACCTACCAGAACCAGAACATAGTAACCATGAGTCCAAATGGGGATTTAGGGTAAAGCACAATTCTGAATGTTCCTTTTTTTTTAAATTGTACTTTAGATGAAGGTTTACAGAACAAACTAGCTTCTCATTAAACAATTGGTACACATATTGTTTTGTGACATTGTTTACCAACTCCACGACATGTCAACATTCTCCCTTCTCAACCCTGGGTTCCCTATTACCAGCTTTCCTGTCCCTTCCTGCCTTCTAGTCCTTGCCCCTGAGCTGGTGTGCCCCTTTAGTCTCATTTTGTTTTATGACCCTGTCTAATCTTCGACTGAAGGGTAAACCTCACAAGTAACTTCATTACTGAGCTAAAACAGTGTTCAGAGGCCATACTCTTGGGGTTTCTCCAGTCTCTGTCGGGCCAGTAAATCTGGTCTGTTTTTATGAGTTAGAATTTTGTTCTACATTTTCCTCCAGCTCTGTTCAGGACCCTGTATTGTGATCCCTGTCAGAGCAGTCAGTGGTGGTAGCCAGGGCACCATCTAGTTGTACTGGACTCAGTCTAGTGGAGACTGTGGTAGTTGTGGGCCTTTAGTTCTTTGGACTAATCTTTCCCTTGTGTCTTTGGTTTTCTTCATTCTCCCTTGCTCCCGACAGGGCGAGACCAAAGGAGTATCTTAGATGGCCGCTCACAAGCTTTTAAGACCCCAGACTCTGCTAACCAAATTAGAATGTAGAACATTTTCTTTATGGATGTTCCTTTTTTTAAAAAAAGTAAAGTTACTTGGAAGAAAAGGCCAGGAGAGGTCACCGGGGAGGGGAGGGTAAATCGGGAGGCTGGCTGCCCAGGGGAATTTGCTTGACTTTGGAGACGCAGGACTGGAGTCACTGGCAGCCTCCTGACCACTGTCCCTGATATCAAGGTTTGCACATTTTTGTGAAGAAAGCACCAAGAACAGCAAACACTCAAATACAAGCTTCCATAATGATGTATTAGTTAAAGCTTACATTTCTTTGATGGTATCCTTCTCTCTCTTTCTAAGGTATGTGTTCTGTTTTCCTTATCAGAGTATAAATTCTCTGAAGATAGAGTTCTTTGGCAAAGAACTCTTTTTCTTTTTTTTAAAATTATTTTATTTTATTTTTGTTGTTGTTATTGAGAATATATACAGCAGAACATACACCAATTCAAAAGTTTCTACATGTACAATTCAGTGACATTGATTACATTCTTCCAGCTGTGCAACAACTCTCATCTCCTTTTCTGAGTTGTTCCTCCCCCATTAACATAAACTCACTGCCCCCTAAACTTCCTATCTAACCTTTCGAGTTATTGTTGTCAATTCTGTTGCTCGCCTATCCTTTAGTATAGTGTCTGGTACATAGTGAGCCCTCAAGAAAGGTTGCTGGTTGAGGTTGTAATGAAATACAGCATGACTGACTATGAATTATTTATTTATTTGTCAGTAATCTAGTATTTGGACAAGGAAATAACGGCATTGGATTGGTCAGGAGAAAGAACTGAGACCAGATTAGGAGGGACTCGCTGTCTTTGAAAAGACAGTACAGTGATTTTCTTAAGTCTAAATTCCTGAAAACAATCTAACCTGATAAAGAACTTAACCCAACTGATTTATAATAGTCATGTACCTTATATAGCAGAAACTTAATTAAGTTTCCTGGAGTAAAAATCCCAGCACTTGCACTGCATTTAGGGCATATGGGCGGACGGCGGGGGGGGTCTCCCCATTTGTCATCTGACTTTCTCCATGAGGTACTGACGCTGGGCAGAACCTAGTGGTGCCATGGGTCCCCCATGGAAACCGAATATAGACTTGGGTTTGGAAAGGACCAAATCCAGCGGGGAATGTTGGCGGGGGCCCCAAGAATGTAGAGCTGTCTCTTGTAGAGATTATGAGTAATTTTGAAGCATATAAAAACTGCTCTTCTGTCCCGTATTTCTAAATATGTACCAGATATAATATCAAATGCAGGGATCTTCCTGGGGCTGGGGCAAGAGGGCAATAGGAGTCCTGACTCCTTGCTGCGCTGGAACTATGGGGTTAGCGTGGGAGGACTGACCTCTGCAAACTAGGGGAGCATTCCCTACTCCCAACCACTCTGGGGAAAATTATCTCTCCCCTTTTGTCAAGCAAGCAAAGAAAAGAAGTCATTCAAGGTTAGAGTTAGGACATTGCAGGGTGTGCACACATCCAAAGACAGTGTGAAGGGACGTATGTATATACAAGGAGTGAAAAGCAGGGTGGGGCCCTGTCATTCTGATGACACTCACCTTTGCAGATCTGCACCATCCCCATGATGATGATCAGGGCTAGAGCCAGGAGCTTCCCAGCTGTGAAGATGTCTTGAACCCGGGTGGCCCATCGCACACTGGAACAGTTGACCCATGTGAGGAGCACTGAAATGACAGATCCCCACACATCCCCTTCAGGGGCCATAATGAGGCTGCGTGACACCCACCACACAGAAGCAGAAATGCTCCTTGCTTCTGACGATGGGATTATAACAGGTGAGCCAAACATCCCACAAGCTCAGCCCCAGTGACCAGAAACTTTGGCTAAGTTAATGGGTTACAAATGGGGATTACTTGCTCCAAATTAGAGCTCGGTCAGAGCATGCCCTGCCCAGGGCTAAAAGCCAGAAGTAGGCATGGGAGTGTGGGCACTGGCTTTGAGGGAAAAAATCAGTGTCTGATCAGGGCAGAAGTGTGAACTTTGTCTTCAAGCCATCATACATACAAGCCCTGAGAAGCTGGTGGGATTCTGGATGTCACTTTCCTGGGCCTGATTTAGGGGCAACAGAGGTCTGAGTGAATATTTTTTTTTTTAGTTAGATTTATCAAAGTATAATTTACCACAGAAAAATTCACCTTTTTAAGTGTACTGTTTGATGAGATTTGACAAGTGTATTTAGTCTTTTAATCACTACCACACTCAATATATAGAACATTTCCAACACTCCAAAAATTCCCTTGTGCTTTGTGCTCCTTTGTGCCTTTGTGTCTGGCTTCTTTCACTTAACAATTCTTTTGAGATTCACCCATGTTGTTGCACATATCAGTAGTTTGGTCCTTTTTTTATTGTTAAGTATATTCCATTATATGAATATATCAGTTTGTTTTTTTTCATTCAACAGTTGATCGGCATTTGGGTTTGCTTCCAATTATTGGCTATTATGAGCAACATTGTTATAAATACTTACATAGATATCTCTGAGTGGGTCATAGGGCTCTCTGAATGGGGTTTTCATTTCTCTTGAGTAAATAACCAGGAGTGGGATTCTGGGTCATATAATACATGTATGTTTAACTTTATAAGAAACTGCCAAACTTTTTTTCAAAGTGGTTGTAGCATTTTGCATTCCCACCAGTGATCCACGATGGTTGCTCTTTCATCTTTGCCAGCATTTGATACTGTCAGTTCTTAAATTTTGGCTATCCTAATAAGTGTGTCGACTCGATGACACACAATAACAACACAACGATAGGTGTGTAGTGGTATTTCACTGTGGTTTTAATTTGCATTTCCCTAATGACTAATAGGAGCTCTGGTGGCACAGTAGTTAAGAGCTTGGCTGCTAACCAAAAGGTTGGCAGTTCAAGTCTACCAGCCGCTCCTTGGAAACTCCATGGGGCAGTTGTACTCTGTCCTATAGGGTCACTGTGAGTCAGAACTGACTCAGCGGCAACAGGAATGACTAATGATGTTGAGCATCTTTTCATATGCTTATTTGCCATCCATCGATATATCTTCTTTGGTGGTATGGGTGGCTTTTAACTCTGCCTCCTTACCTATGCGGTATGATGGATCACTTTTATATGGCCTTTCTCATCATGGTCTTTTAATTCACACCAAATGACTGGGTGGGGCTATGCAAATGAGGTGTTTGTGGCCCACCAAAGGGATTAGATAGCTTGTTAATAATGCAAATAAGGTACACTATACCCTTGTGGGGGTGGGACCATGCAAATAAGATGTATAGAACCCTAATGAGAGGATTGGTCAGTTTTGTCATCTCACTAGGCTTAAAATAAGCCATCCCAGAGGCAGATGGGGGGACCTGACTACCACAAGAAAAAGAGATGGGAGCAGAGCATGTCCTTTGGACCCAGGGTCCATATGCTGAGAACCTCCCAGACCCAGGGGGGAGGGAGAGGGAGAGAGAGAGAG